TGCCGTGGAGCAGAGACAAGGGGAGCGGGTCTCCGGGTGGCGTTTCCTAACCGGGGAGGCGGAGGGAGGAGGGAAGGAGCGTCTGGAAGTGGTTTCACTGAAATGTGCCGCCTTCTACGTGCACATCACGAATGTTAATTTCTGGAGGGGACGCTCGTATGTACAAATGAAGAGCTGTGTGGAGACGGGTCCTGCTCTCCAGCCTAGATTACTATGAGTTCCTTGCCTCGTGATGAGTGTAATAAAGGGGCAGTGTGTTCTTCGCTGATTTCATTAAGTTTTTTTTCTGTCCTGCAGCTAGCAGTGTTCTGGCCATTGACCAGGCCAGGGGGCCCATCACCTTAGTACTGGCAGAAGATGGCACCATTGTTGATGATGAAGATTACTTCCTGTGTTTGCCATCTAATACCGAGTTTGTGGCCCTAGCCAAGAATGAGAAATGGCCCAGCAGAAGCTTAGGTACTCTGTGGATGAGGGGTGGGGTGTCAGGAATACAGCTGGTGAAATGAGGCTGTCTGGTGGATCAGGAATGACCTGTGCATCCGATGCCTCTCGTGTCAGGCAGCGGAACATCCCGGCTGTCCGAGCCTGCCGACGAGGTGGACAGTGGTGCAGAGAGGTGGAAGCAGCTGGCCAGGCAACTGAAGGATGACCTGTCTAATATCATCTTGATGTCTGAAGAAGACCTCCAGGTACAGTGGGGAAACCTCTAAATCCTGTCCTGGGCTCTGCCCATCATCCATTTAGCTGAGTAGATGATGGAGAACAAAATAAGTAAACAAGACCTGAGGCTTAATTCAGGAGTTGTTTTGGTGTGGCACTAGAGTCAAATTTCTCCTTGAGAGGGGACACTCACAAGTGTCCAAGGAGGATGCTCTTAGTCACTGCTTGTCCTCACAGCACGTCTTGCCAGTTCTGGGAGTGGGAGGGCAAAAAGTCAAGATTTGGCCCAAAGCAGCTGAGGTGGGCTCCTGTTTTCTGTTGGAAATGCACAGGATTCCACACCTTCCTAGATGCCTTTTGGCTTCTGGTAAAGAATGCTGGCTGGTGGAGCACCACTGCAGCCTTTCATAACTTGGCTGACTTGCTACAAGACACCTTGTGAGACACGCTGGTTTTCTTGAATGTGGGGCTCCGTCACTCAGGAGGCTGCTGTTTGTACTGTCATCAGTGCAGAGGAATGAGACACTCAAGCATCCATGTAACAGGAGCACTGTCGTTGTTTTAAGGTGCTTATTGATGTACCATGTTCAGACCTGGCAGAAGAACTTGCCCAAAGTCAACCCAAAACCCAGGCACTGCAGGACACCCTGCAGCGGGTGCTGGACAGACGAGAAGAAGAACGGCAGTCGAGACAGCTCCTGGAACTCTACCTAGAGGCCCTGAAAAAGGAAGATGGCATCTTAAGCAAAGTAGCAGGTAGGGAGCATTAGGATGCTGGAGAAGGAGCTTTTCAGAGATGCCTGAAATAATTAAGTGGAATAAATAAGGCAGAGTGAAGGACTGGAGTGGGTCCCATGCTTAGCAGCTATTAATGTGGTTTATGTAATCACTGGTATAGTGTGAGAACTCTGACTGGGTGAGACCAGGAGTCCTCTCACTGCTGCCTCACATTTCTTACAGTGACTGAAAGTAGAATACTGGGAGAAAAGCTTAAATCATGTAGTCATCCTTAAAATTGTGGATTTCTTAAGTTAGAGGATGCACCTAGACAGAATGTGTACCTCATTAATCTCAAAACCATCAGAGCAGTCCAGGCCACTTTTCCTGTCCTGTGTTTATCACGGGCTATAATGATTCTGCTACTTTTCAGCATCTGAGACTGTACCAGGGAAGAAGAAGGATGAAGTTGATGCAGGTACCAGCAGTACAGGCACCACAGCCACAACAGCACTCAGTGACCACATCCTTGCTGTTCTGAAAGAGAAACCTGCTCCAGAGCTCTGCTTGGACAGTCAAGATCTAGAGGTAGGTGAGAATGATGTTACAATACTCTGGCAAATCTTTCCCTCTGGAGAGAGCAGTCATGGGGTAAACCGTCCTTGCTTCTGGAGGCTTTAATGTCAGTTTGTCTCAGAGGGGTGAGATTTAATGTTTCTCCTCCTCAGTAACACTACCCCCTGCTTGGAGCTCCTCTGCAGTAGCCAGTTGACACTATTTCAAGTATTCTAGTCTGTCCTCTGAAAAGCCACAAAATAATTATCTTTCCCTCTGGAGAGAGCAGTCATGGGGTAAACCGTCCTTGCTTCTGGAGGCTTTAATGTCAGTTTGTCTCAGAGGGGTGAGATTTAATGTTTCTCCTCCTCAGTAACACTACCCCCTGCTTGGAGCTCCTCTGCAGTAGCCAGTTGACACTATTTCAAGTATTCTAGTCTGTCCTCTGAAAAGACACAAAATAATGCTAGTTTTGATCTCTGCCAAATCATAGTCAGCCAATGCTTCAGCTGTCTTACCAGCAAAGTTTTTTTGTATGCAGATACATCTAGTTATATTTCTTTTATACATCCAAAAAGCAAATAAAGCTCTCCTTATTCTGGAAAACACTGCAATTAAACTAACTCCTTGGGAAGGAAAGTCTAGGTGAACTGGAACCATCAGAAAGTGTTCTTTCTAATGCTGTGGACTTGCTGCTCTTCATTTTCCTAGAAGAGAAACTAAGTAACTGCTTTCTGTTCCTCTGAAGATCTGAATGTAGCTTCAGGTCTACGTGTTGGTAGATTATTGAGAAATCAGTAGCCCATGGGAGAGGTGATGAAAGCTGGGAACATCCTCAGTACTAAACTGGCAGTGCTGAGCAGGAGTCTCATTGCTGCCGTTCATAATGTGGGCAGAGGGGTCAGTGGTGAGGGAACAGCAGGAGAAAAGACTGTTAGAAATCTGTCTTCCTACAGCTGGTCTTGAAAGAAGACACACAAGCCCTGTCCTCAGCCCTGCGATGGGACAAGGAGAAAGCTGAAGCTCTGCAGCAAGCCTGTGACCAGGAGCTCTCCAAGCGTCTACAGCAAGTGCAGACTCTGCATTCCCTAAGGAGCACCTCCAAGGGGAAGAAAGCACTACCCTGGGGAGACTGGCCCAGCTCAAAACGCAGAAAATGAGTGCTGCTCAGAATGCCTCTATGGTTTGTGGGTTTGGGGATTTTTTTGCATTTGAATCAATACAAGCAAGAGACATTCTGGGAGGCAGTTTGCTGGCTGTCCTGTGGTCTGGCTCTAGACAGCTAAAATCTGGACATTGTCCTGAGGCTCAAACTCCTGTGATGATTCAAATCATGTGTAACCAAAGGGATTCTGACTTTTTGCAGAATGCTAGAACAATGGTATTGCTAAACACAGCATGTAGGGGTTCAGTTTTGAATACCTGGTTGAGAGCCAGAAGCTTCCATGTGCCAGTGATGGATCTAGCTGCTGAAGCCCCAGGCAGTTTGCTTGCTTTGTCCTCCCACCATTTCACTGTGAAGGATGGAAGTCCTCTGGAAGATGCTTTGAGGCACAGTTAAAGAACAGGGCAGAGGGGTTTGCCAGCTGCTGTCTGCCTTGAAGCTCCAGCCTGGGATCTAGGAACTTGAATTCTCGTGCTAATTACCAAGTCCTTTAACTTCTGTGCTTTTTCTGTAAGGAACTCCTTGGGTGCAGTGTAAGCACTAACTTGTAGAACACAGCAAAGGTGGAAATACTTGCTCTGTAAGGCTGTGGAGCAGAAGACTTGGTTTTGGCCTGTCTGTATAGCTCTACTCTCCTTATCATTAGTGTAGGATCATGATACTTTTGTATTAACTGGATAATCTTTATGTATTAACTGGCTTATCTTTAAATTTATTAAAGGCTTTTTTTCTAGTATCATTAAAACCTTTTTACCATACTGTTGGACTGGTATTCCCACCAGCTGCTCTGATGAAAGAATGTGCTGGTAAGTGCAGTATTGCCTTAAGTACAGAGGAAGAAGAAATGAAATGCAGACGTCCTCTGTATTTAACCTGTCCAAAGCACTGAGGTGAGCTGCACGTTCAGACTGGTGACACTGCACCAGAGCTCTCACCTGGCACAATCTATTCTCTTGGGAGTACAGAAGATGTACATGAAGAAAAGCTGACAAGTGAGCTGAAAGTTCTGTGACAGCTTTAGTAGGTACAAATGTTTTTTAGTACCCCCTCTCATTGAACATCACCTTAAATGGTCCAGGATCCCAGCTGATGAGTTCTCCTACAGCAGGTGTTCAGAGGAACCCATGGCATGTAGACATTCCAGTTGAGTTATGGCATATTTGAAGTTAGACTGGCAGTGGAACTAACAAATACTCTGAACACTTTAGTGCCTTTGAGCAGGTAAGCAAAAATACTGAGGGTGACCATGAAATTACCCACATGGGAATCGACTGGACTTGGCACAGAAGCTTTGCTCTGTTTTGCTAGGGCAAGTAATTGCTTCTTAAAGTGGACACTTCTGGCTTGTTACAGGCCATGGTGGGTAAAAAAGCTTCCTGCTGCTTTAATAGCTACTTATTACAAGCTTTTATGTTCGTGTCTTTCAGAGCTAGCATATATGGCTGTGCAGTAACAGAATTTCTGAAGTATACTCTATCACACCTCAGGCTAATTATACTGAGTGCCAATTGAAGCAGGAAGCACTGGGCAGCATGGCTGCCAGCAAGCTGCTTCTGTGAGCTTATGGCTCACCTTGGCATTGCCACTCTCTCCCTTATAAACCACTCTTTCAGTCTTGCTCAAAGCCACAATGCTTTTGCATTTTTCAAGCTCAACTTGGCAATAGAAATTCTACTCTGCAAGCTGTACAAGAGGAAAGAACTGGGGTTTACCTGTGGGGGTTTTCCCATTTACTTAAAATAGCAGATAGATAGATAGTATAATTACTTCAATCCTGTATTATGTTTTGAATATTTAACTCACCTACTTCCAGGCAAACACTGAGATGGAGTCACAGCCACCGTGCTGATCCTTCCTGTAGGAAGGCAGTGATGGTGCTTCCAGTCTAACCTTAAGGGAAAAAAAACAAATGGAGGGTTTTCATTGCTGCTTTTCCCTCCTCTTATCAAGGTTAGAGCCCTTTAGTTGCCTGTAAATTTTTAAATGCTGCAGTTCTTATGTTACAGAATTCAAATTATAACTAGACCTAGCATAGTATAACTTAAACTGTTAATTTTGTCTTAATTATTCTGATCTAACTATCATATTTCATAATATGATGGGAGATGCAGTTATACTCTAACAAAGTATGTTTGCTCCACTTAAGTTTAGTTAAGCTGCACAGTTTAACTATGTAAAAACTAGCATTTCCTTGATTTTATTCCTGTAATATTTAAGAGGCTTTAACTTTTAAACAGGGTGACTGACCTGCCCAGGATTCATGAGGATGGATTTTACATATAGGTGTTCACAGTATGGTAGGGCTTAAACACATCCAGAAATGTGAAAACCTAGGCTGGCTGTCATTATACTTTTTTCAGGGTAAAAATTTTAGAACATCAGAGCTTTGAGTTAAAATCTTTCTCTTTGGTACATTCAAGTAGACAAACCTACCTTGTAAGAGAGTCCTTCTTCAGCAATGATTTCCCATGAATGAGTATCCTCAATTTATGGTCTTCAACACTGCATTAATGATTTCTCCCTTAAAGCACCAAGAAAAACCTTTTGCATCTCCTGTGGGATTGGGCTGATGACCAGGGCATGCTACAGTCAATAAAGCCTCATGCACTTCACAAAAGCAAGTAATGAGTAGGAGCATTGAAAGAAAGGAACACTGATTAATGTAAGCACTGGTGTGCCAATGAGACAGATTTTCTGTTGATTACAGAGTTTTATTATCTATGTAGCCCACATCAGTTGGTAGAATTCTTCTGCAAGATAGCTCATTTCTGAAAGTAGAACAGCTTGGGACAGGGGAAAGGGTGGGTAAAGTTTCATAGGGTAAAATGTCCTCTACAGAGCCAAAGATAGGAATTGATGCCATTCCTGTTTTCTTCTACACTGTAGCACTTGATTGCATTTGATCAATACTGGATAGGTACAGGACACAAAAGGAATGTTTTTTTTCCCTTACCCACCAGTACTGATAGCACAAATACAGAACAAGAATAAAAGGGATCACATCTAAGGAGACCAGAGCATTACTCTTCCCACTGTGTCACATCTAGCTGAGTGACTAGTTCAGAATTGCACCCTGCTTCCAAGAGAAGGGTTTTAAACAAGGAGCAAGGAGTTCAAGGGAGATCAAGGTCATCTAGTACCTTCTTTATCTTGGGGTAGTATTTAAGGTGTAAGTCTTACTAAAATGAGAACCTGACGATTTTAAACTTGGTTTTGGGGAACTGCCCTAAGTTGTGTCCTTTAGGAAGGAAAGAATGGCTTCAAGGAAGAGCTCTTCTCATGAATGAAGGGCTAAGCAGGAAAACCAGCATTCAAGTCTTCCCTCCCTTGCTGCATATTTTAAACTATCCTCCACAAGCACATTCTTGCCTAGTGAAGCTTGTCCACGCAGGAGCTCAAGCAGCCTTCTCATTTCACTTGGCTCCAGTTCCTTCTGTCTTCACCCCTGCTGCGTTGGCAGCCAGGGCGTTTATGAGCCAGCAGAGGGCAACGGCGAGTGGCTCCTGGCCACCATGTCACCGCAGCGACACTGGAGTGCAACACAGCTTACTGAGGTGAAGACTGCACACCAGCAGTGTCACGGGTGAAAAGGACACAAAGTACGTTTTAATTCCCAAGACAAGTGAGAGAGATAGCTATTAAACAAACAAAAATATTCAAAATACCTAAGCAAAGCAACAAAGAAGTCAAATATTTACTAGAGAAACCAAGTAGCAGCATGGTGGGAGTTGCAGCTACTATTATGGTCAATGAGAATGTTCTGCTTTAAACTCTTTATTTAAAGGATTTTCTTTTCAGTAACAGTAAGACACCTTTTTGTGAGCAATTAAGGCATTGTGGCTGTAACCTTTACTGAATTCTGACAGACCATTCATTTATAGAACAGAAAAATCCAACTAATTATGTTCACCTAAAAAACTAAAGACCATTACTGTTGCCAACCTGCAAGAGGACTCTCCAACAGGCTAGCTTTGGTTCCTTCAGGATAGTAAGAGAAAGTGAGCAGACATTACTTGAAAGGTCAGTTATGCCATGTTTCAATCTTCACTTTCAGCCACAGCTGCTTCTTGTTCTCCAGAATTTCTCCTTCCTTTAGCTGCACTGGACTTTTTCTTCTTCTCCTTTTGCTCCATGTTACTTGATGTGAGCTCTTCACTCTTCTGGGTGATATACTTTAGCTGCAAACAATAATCAGTTGTCTACTGAGGAACTTAATTTGTTCATGAGAAAGCAGAGAGAAATGTTTACAAGAAATTAACAGGGCAAATTCTTACAAAAAGATGACAGAAACTCCAAAAAGGCTGACAAGCATCAGCTAGTTTTAATTTTTGCACTAAGCCCTCAGTCTAAGCTGGATATCCTCAGATAATGGAATACTTTTGGCAAGACTAGGATCTATAAATGTATGTTACAACCACCTCTAGAACCAAGAGAGCAACATTAGCAGTTAAATTTGCTTAAGCAGGAGTTGCTTCAGCTTTGACAGTTTTCGTTCAAGTGCTCTTAGGAATTAACAAATTGCTTTAAGAATGTTTCAAGACAGAAAATAAAATTTATCTCACCAAAGAGCTGCTCCTTCTAGCCAAAAGCTTCACATCTTCTGTAGTGACTGTGCTTCGTTTTGCATGCCTGCATAAAATTAAAAATACCTCTAATAACCAACATTGGTTGCAAGAGGCCCTTACAGCATTTAATTCAGACACTGAAAGGGCTTGATAGGGACCCAGTAAACCAAACCTCCCTCTCTTTTCCAGCTACAACACACAGAAAACTGTTTCACAAATCTGTACGTGTACTTCTAAATTCCCACACTTGTGTGTAAAAATAGTAGAACTGAGCAAGCACAACTTTGAGCACCACTGTTCTGTTCCTTCTTACCTGCCAGGAGGTCACTGTGTTAAGTTTGGACTCCTTAAAACATTTCCTTACCACCTTGAAGCATCTGGGTGAAACACAGGCATGCTAGTGACCATCTGTCACTCCCAAACCACCTTGTACCACTAGGTATCAATGCATTTGGCAATTATACACAGCCATTAATCTAAACAACCACTTGTACCACATAAATTAACTTCCACAAACAGGAAGAACCTACAGGGGACTATCTATTTCCTAACTTCACAGCAGCTGTTGAAGCAGCCAATAGAACCCTTTAAATCTTGAGTTACAAGATGTATTTTAAAGATTATCTAGTTATTGGAGCAGAACACAAAAAAAAATAAGTCTTTGTAACAATTAAATATTCCAGTACCTACCTTGCAAACCGCAGCAGTTGTGGACCCAGCCAATAGAACCCTTTAAATCTTGAGTTACAAGATGTATTTTAAAGATTATCTAGTTATTGGAGCAGAATACAAAAATAAATCTTTGTAACAATTAAATATTCCAGTACCTACCTTGCAAACATTTCAAGGTCTTTTGCGAAGGTCTCTGGAGAAAACACAAAGACATCACATATTTTAACATGCCAGCTCTGATTAGGAAGAGATACATGACACAGTTCTGGCTGTTACAAAGGGGTACTTGCAGTTATCCGAGTTAGTTATAGAGAAGGGACCACAACTTGCTGTGACATGCCACTCTGTTGCACATGCAGGTGGCCCACACAGTATTTCCACATACTTTTAAACACTTTCCCCAGGTCTGAAAAATAGAAGCACTATTTCTTGTACTTTTTGAAAGGTAAGGAAAGAAACAATGCCCCAGTGATACCTAGTTCCCGTGCTACTTTTTAAAGCATCATTTCTCCAGCAATTGCTCTCGAACAAATAGATAATATACGAAGTTCTGTACCACACTGCCTGAAGGTGATCTCTGAAATCGCTGCAATGGTTTGTTTGCTGAACTGCACGCCTCTGTCTTCTGCAACATCCTGACACAGGCAGCCAACCGTGTAGTGAACCGCAGCCTTCAGCCTCTGCAAGGACCCGAGGCAGCGACAGGTCAGTTCTCTGCAGACTGATCTCGATCAGTCGTCAATCATCGAGACTTTTAGGAGGAGGCAGAGACGCGAGCTTTGCCGGGCCCCGGCACCCCCGAGCACCGCGTTTATCACTCAGCCGCCCACCCGCCCTCCCTCCCGGCCC